CACATAAAGTTGAACCTGTTGGTTTCAATCCCGTTTTACACACTACTTTTAAAACATCTTTCTTTTGGGAGTCTAAAAAAAAAGGTGGCCTCCATGAGAGTGGATCCCACAACCTCTTCTTAAGAGGTCAATTTACAGAGGAAACAATAACCAGCATGCCCATATATGGATCAATGATAAAAAGCTCCACTTGCACTATATATAACTAGAATTTATATTCATTTTTCTTTAAAAAACAAAAGAGCTGGACTCATGCAAGTTACTCTGACTCGCTTGAGTAAATCGCCTCAGCCAAGGCCCGAGTACTTTAGCCAAGTCTATTTTCTAAACTAGCACTGGGTACTTGGAACAGAGACATGCAATAATAAATCGTATGGAACTCAATGTTGTATTAATCAATGTGATCCTACCACAATAGAAAGAAACATTTCTTTCCATGGCCCACATAATTTTACTAGCCTTTCAATCACTAGAATCCAAATATTTTTGTTGTTCCTATCTAAGAAACCTTAATATCTATTTGGAAGATTTAGAGAAAAAAAGAAAAAAAAATATGAAAGACATCTCAATGCAAAACAATTAGCTAATTAATGAAATAAAGGTATTGGATGAGTTGAAATAGGTTTACATAGCTTATGGCTGGATCACAACGGTAAGACAACATTTATTTTATACTACCAACAAGAAATTATCCACATGAACCTTTTTGACAAGAAAAGGAGCAAGATCATCAATATGACCAACACCATGACAATTTAAACAACTCAACAAATCACACCCCAAAATTTTTAGTAAAACATCAAAGGAAACAAGAGTTCCTTTCAATGACAACAAATATATCTCATTTTTGCACTTTATACTACCAACTCCAAATTCTCCACATGATCCTTTTTTACAAGAAATGAGCAAGTTCATTACCATGAACCATAGTTCTTGTAAACACCTGGGAACCCGAATTGTTTCATGAATCAAAATCACATAATCACAGCTGCTTAGAAGATTCCTATTTTAGGAATCGATGTCCATACCTTGGGAATCTTGGGGAATGAAATTCCTAAGTTACTGAAATTGCATTTCGATGAAAATAGATTAAAGATTCATCCACATTTGGAATCGAGATTTCGGCTTTCTTGGAATCGAGATTCCCACCCCCTGGGATCGACACTCGAGGAGTCAAGTTTTTTTGATATGTGGAATAGAGATTCCAAAATCTATTAGATATGTTGCAATTTAGAATAGAGATTCCAACATCTTTGGAATCACATTTCTGACATATATGGATCCGAGATACATGTCATTTTGAATTCGAGAGTTACATTAGTGTGGAATGAATGTGTTTGACCCCTACCAGTAATCAAGATTTCAATTTTATGGAGTAGGAAGCCCATACACATCTTGAACCCTATCAACTTTAGAACTATATCATATGTCTCTTATTAGACTTGTAGAGAAAATTTTAAAGTGATTGTGTTGACCATTGATCTTAGGGTCAAATAATCTACTAGGAAAATTATACACAAAAGATATGTATTTCTAAATGGTGATTTTGATTATTATACAGACAAAATAGGATTATGTAGACAAAATAGAATTTTGCATTTCTAAAAGATATGGAAGTAAGACTCCATATTGATTGAATTGCATTTCCCTACTCTTATGAACCGATGTACCATACATTGTAGATTCTAGATTCAAAATGTAAGGGCCACAATTCAATTGAGCCTAATCACTGACGGCAGACAGAGAAGGAAGTCGAAAGAGATGGGAGCACATGCGCGGTGTTAAGGGCGAAGGATAGCACCGTCCGTGTGATTTGGCCTAGTGTCGTCCATATAACATGGAGGCAATGCCGGGTGCAAATGAGGGCATTGCCGTGGGTATAAGGGTTGATGCCATGCACGTGAGCAGGCACCGGAGTGCATGAGCTTGGGCTGTGTCGCTGTGCAATTGAACTTATAGCCGTCCGAGGAAAAGAGGCGGTGGAAAGAGGGTGGGTTAACGTTGTGCTCAGGCTAGACTAATGCTGCACACGAATGGAGGCATTGCCACGAGTGCAAGGAGTAAGGTCGAGCACGGCGTGAGGTAGCACTGAGGGAGAGTGGAGAAGCCTTAGCATCGCCATTTGGAGTAACGCTGCCTGGACTAACGCTGTGCATGAAATCGAGTACCGCCGATTGCGCACCGCCGTCGGCCGAAGGAAGTATAACACCAGCCACGTGAGGAGGCCTAACACCGTGAGTGAGGAGAGAAAGAGAAACTGAATTACCATCTGGAGCATTGCCGCGAGCGTGTGTTGGCATCTGGAGCATCAGTGCAAGTGTGTTGCCATCAGAAGCATCGCCGCCTTGAGTAACGCCGTGCATGGTTTGTCAAGTGTGCAGCCGTTAGTGGTGGCAGCGCCGCGCCGTACCTGTCAGCACTGGGTGAGTGACGTCAGCCACAGGTCTTTTCTCAACCACCCCGCGATGTCTGGCACAGTTGGCATCACCTACCCACGCGACTATAATCATGCCCTTCACCACCACCATGTGCCTTCCCTTTCTTTCCCCTCAAACTTTCTCTCTCTAACACCTAGCACGTGCTTTGTGCTGCTGCCGTTGGGAAGCTGCCGTCTTGGGCAAGCACGACCTGCGTGTGAGAATCCAAGAGTGAGACTACCATAGGGGAGCAAGGGGCAAACTGTGCAAGGATTTTTAAGGGCGCCATGACCTTTAGGTAAGTGGATTTAGTGCTATGCCTCCCTTAGATTCACTTGAATGGGATAAGAACGATAGAATGAATGAATGTAGAGTGGATGAAAAATGAAGTGGAATAAATGCTTGAACATGGCCAATGAATTTTGGAAAAAATTATAGATTTAATTCCTTGTAAAAATTACAAGTTTGGTTCATATGATTCAGACTGAAATTATAAATTAAGTTGATTTCTAATATGGTGTATCATATGGTGATGGCATGTTAATGCTTGAGGAAAGGAGATTTTCCAGCAATTGTATGGGCTTTTGCCTTGTGCTTTTCGCTGAACAAACGGTGCCCGAATGGGCCCAAATCGATTTTAAATGAAAAATATACATGTCTAGTTAAAGTTTTCTTTTTCTATCATGATAAAATGTCACATTGATCAAAAGATATGACCTAAAATGTGAGACATGTCACTGCTCACATTCGCTGTAAATTCCAATACCTATGACTCTTTTTGGGCAGCACTTTGGCCTGGCAAACAACGTCCAAACATCCTCAAATTGCCACGGAAATCCTTGTGAATAGAATTAAAATTACTTGTTTTGAGATTTTCGAAATTTCCCATAAATTTTGAGTTACACCCCAAAATGCATGAGTGTATCATTGCCCACTATTTTCAGCAACTATTATTTGTTAGAATTGAATTTTCGACCAAACTAATGAGGTCTGATTCTCGTGATAAGGGAAACATTGAAATTTTCTCATCTAGCTATTAATTGAAGCATTAAATTCCCTTGGTAAGTGACAAATATGAATGCTATATGATAATTGCCATGCATATGCCACAAGGTTATGTGAATGATGCTCCACAACAATGTGCTTTGTGAAAAGTGATAAGCGCCATATTGATGTGATTATTTCATGATGAAAGTTTCATGATAAGTGCCAAAATGTCATTGATGATATCCATGTGTAAATGTTATGCTACGATTCATGTAATGAATGTTTCATGTTAGTTGCCATACTGATATGATGAGAATGTGATTTACCTGTTATGAGGCACTGAATTGGCATGAATGGATTGAATGCTCGAGCATGAGAAGAGGCCTTAATGATGACCACTATGCAATGGGACACCCCTTGGTAGTGGGTATTGTACTGTTACATTGATGAGAATACTGGCCATTGGTTTACTGATACTGGCCACTATGCGATGGGACACCCATCGGTAGTGGAGACTGATGCACTGAGACAGTAATGCCGGCATGTTCCCTAACTTGCACAATGACAAGAACTGGTTAGGGAAGAAAAGAGGTCGCTACCTATGATCCATGAGATGAGATATGTGATTGGTTGATGCCTTGCAAGGTAAGGGCCTGTCGAACCCCAATGAGCGTTGGGATTGTGAGTGTGAGTTGAGGGTGTTACAAAGAAGATTACCCCACTTGTCATTACCTTCCTTCCTATGGGATGGTAGAAGTCCTAAGCAACGGGATTGACTTGGCCTGATGGATAGAGCTTCTACTAGCAGGAGTAGGTGAACTAAGGAGTGTGTAATGAATGAATTATGACTGTGATTTCCTATAGTTGTAATGACTGCATGAGATTGTCTATAATTGAAGCATAATATTATCTGTAATTGATGCTCTATTGCTTGGATATCCTATTTATAATTGATGTATTGATCTGAGGACCAATATATGTAACTACTGCACTGCCACTGATTATGATCTAGTAAATTGCTTATCGCACATGGGTAGACTTGTTACCAAAGAATAACAATAGATCTACTTACTGAGCTTCAAGGTTCATTCTATTATTTTCCCTCCTTGTAGACTGAAAGTGACAGGTTCAAAGTTGGGAGTGCGGGTTGTATCTAAAGATCAAAGCGGCCATTCGAAGAAGGATTTTAGATCTTGTAGGTAGCTGGGCTCTTAGCTCTATTTGTACTATTTTCTTTGAACAATGTAGCTCTGGGCCCTGGAGCCTTAAACTCTATTATACTACTTTTGGGTTGTAATGTAACGAAACATTTTTTCTTATGAATGAATTTGCTAAGTTTTAAATTTTTAAGCTTGTGAGCATCAATTTTCCTTGGTTTGCTTGATTACCAAGAGTAAGGCGTTGAGACTGCTCCTACTCGAGTAACAAACGCTACATTGGGATTATGGACCTGTGCCCGGTCGCCCTTTGCCATCAGGGGTAAGGTGGTCGGGGGGCAGCCAGGATAGGGTCTTTGGCCTTGAGAGTAAGGAAGGGAGTCTTTAGAATAGCTTTGGGGTGGACAAGCGACTGGGTGCTCTTACGGTTATCTTGAAGATGTCGAGAGCTCATACCCACAATGCTAGTTCCAGTAATGACAACACCGAGGCGCTTAGTGAATTTTATGGGACTTTGGGGGCTATGACCCAGATTATGAAGGAGTCGATGCCCGTCCAGTCTACCCCTACCCTAGAACAGAATGATAGTAGCGTTTTAGAGAGGTTTAGGAGGTTGGCGCCCCCAAACGTTTTGGGGCAAGGAGGATTAGAGAAGGTTGAGAGATGGAAGAGGCAGATAGAAAAGATCCTAGAAGTGTTGCACTTCTCAAGCGAGAAGAATGTTAGATTAGGATCCTTCATGCTGGAAGGAGAAGCTGAACACCGGTGGGACTCGGTGACGCGGTCTTGGGGGGAGTCGGGCACCGAGACCACATGGGAAAACTTCCTGACGGCATTCGATGAGAAGTATTTTCCAGACTCCATCAAGGAAATAAAAGAAGTAGAGTTTATTGAACTCCAACAAAGGGGTATGGCAGTGGAGCAATAAACTACCAGATTTGCAGAGCTCTTTAAGTACGCACCCCACATTATTAACACCGAGGCACGAAAGGTGGCGGACTTTGAGAGGGGCCTCCGACCGGATATTAGCGGGAGAGTAATGTCGACCAACCTGAAGACATATGCCCCATTGGTGGACTTCGCCTTAAGGATTGAGAGGGACTGTGAGGACCATAGATCAAGGAAGGAAGGAAAGATGAAGGTTGTGCCATCGGAAAGGTTTGGAAAGAAGCCTGGACAATTTCTAAGAAGGGATATTAGAGGAAACCCTTACCAGCTTAATCAGAAGACCCAGAAGAATCACTCGGGCAACATCGAAGGTGATCGATGCCTAGTATGCTCTCATTATGGAAAAGATAGCCACACTGCCGTCGAATGCTACAGGAAGCGGAACATGTGCCTAGAGTGTGGGAAGCTTGGTCACTGGGTTAAGGATTGCCCCTTGGCAAAGACTGAGGATCGACTGAAGGCATAAGGATGAGTGTTTGCTCTCATTGAACAAAAAGCCAGGGCATCCACCTTGGTGATTAGAAGTACGATCTCTATCTGTGGTGTTAGAGCCAAAGCCTTAATTGATCCCGTTTCCTCTCATTCATTTGTTGCACCCTATTTTGCTTTCTAGTTAAATGTTACACCTACATGTCTCAATTATACTCTGGTAGTATGCACACCTCTGGGGGATTCCCTGGAAATTGATAGGGTATTTAGACAGTGTGGGATTGAAATTGATGGGTGCGACCTACTTGTAGATTTGATCCTTTTAGATATTCAAGACTTTGATGTTATTTTGGGCATGGATTGGTTGTACACCCATCATGTCACTGTCAATTGCCATGAAAAGATGGTAACCTTTAAATGTCCTGATCAAGCAGTACTGCCCTTTGAGGGCACCAGGGATATTCCCCCTCTGCACCTTATTTCCGCCTTCTGGGCCTCTCACCTCCTGGCTAAGAAATGTGAAGGGTATATGGCTTATGTAGCAAAAAATAAAGGTGTTCAAGTCTAACTAGAGGTAATACTGGTTGTAAGGGACTACCCTGAGGTATTCCCAGAAGAGTTACCCTCCCTACCTCAAACGAGAGAAATTGAATTTGAGATAGATGTATTCCCAGGCACGGTTCCCATCTCTAAAGTCCCGTAGAAGATTGCCCCCGCAGAGTTGAAGGAATTAAAAGAGTAGTTGAAAGAATTGTTAGACAAGGGGTTTATCCGACCCAGTGTGTCACCCTGGGGTGCATCCGTCCTGTTTGTGAAGAAGAAAGATGGGTCCCTGAGGCTATGCATTGACTATAGGTAGTTGAACCAAGTAACGGTAAGGAATACGTATCCTCTGCCTAGAATTGATGACCTCTTTGATCAGCTCCAGGGGGCCCAGGTGTTTTCAAAGATCGATCTCTGATCACAGTGTCACCAAGAATGGGATCACGGTCGACCCCTCCAAGGTAAAAGCCATACTTAAATGGGAGAGACCAGCAAATGTGAATGAATTTCGTAGTTTCCTGGGGCTAGCTAGGTACTACAAGGGTTTTGTATAGGGATTCTCAAAGATAGCACTTCCCCTAACTCGGCCGACTCAGAAGAACGTAAACTTCATATGGTCAGAAGATTGCGAGAAAAGTTTCGAAGAACTTAAAAAGAGATTGACCACCACCCCGATGCTGGCATTGCCTGAGGGAAATGAAGATTTCATGATTTATACCATAAAGGGCTCGTGAGTGTACTAATGCAGAGAGGTAAGGTTATTGCTTATGCCTCCAGGAAATTAAAGTCGTACGAGTAAAACTATCCCACTCACGATTTGGAACTCGCGGCAATAGTATTTGCACTAAAAGTATGGAGGCACTACCTCTATGGAGCCCAGTTTAAGGTGTTCACGGACCACAAGAGTCTCATGTACTAGTTTTCCTAGAAAGAGTTGAACATGAGGCAAAGGAGATGCATGGATCTACTGAGTGACTATGATTGCATAATCAAATACCATCCAGGTAAGGCTAATATAGTAGCTAACGCCTTAAGTCGGAAAACCATGGTCTCAGTAGCACAACTGATGGTGCGAGAAATGAAGTTGTTGGAAGATATGGTGGAGTGGCACCCATCTTAACCTCTCGGTAAAGAGAATGAAGTACTGTCATGTCTTAGGGTGGAGCCCCAACTCTTTCAATGAGTTCCAAAGGCTTAGAAAGAAGATCCCCAACTGATGAAAATCCTCGAAGAACTGAAGATAGGAGGGAAATAGGGCTTCTCCATAGACAGCGGTGGATTGTTAAGGTTTAAGGGCCGAATATGTATTCTCAATGATGAAAGTTTAAAAAGGGCCATTCTAAAGGAAGCACACCACTCTCGCTACACGATACACCCTAGGGGACCAAAGATGTATCAGGATTTGAAAGGAGCCTTCTGGTGGAATGACATTAATCGAGACGTGGCTCAGTTTGTAGCTAAATGTCTAACGTGCCAATAAGTGAAGGCTGAACATTAGAAACCTGTTGGGATATTACAACCCCTGCTCATATCAAAATGGAAATGGGAACACATTGCAATGGAATTTGTCTCCGATTTGCCGAGATCGAGTGCAGGGCATGATAGTATCTAAGTCGTGGTGGACTGACTGACTAAGGTTGCTTACTTCTTACCGGTTCGCACGACCTATCCATTGGACAAGTTGTCCTAGCTGTACGTTAAAGAAATTGTGAAACTTCATGGGACTCCTATTCGCATTGTGTCAGACAGGGACCCAGGTTCACTTCTATATTTTGGTCAAGCCTACAATCAACTTTAGGGACCGAACTTACCTTCGGCACTGCCTTTCATCCCCAGAAAGATGGCCAATCAGAAAGAACCATTCAAACACTAGAAGTTATGCCAAGGGCATGTATCACTGATTTTAAAGATGATGGGAGGACTATCTTCCCTAGATAGAGTTTTCCTACAACAATAGCTTCCAAGCCAGCATCCAGATGGCACCGTATGAGGTCCTATATAGGAGGAAGTGTCTATTGCCGATTTACTAGGATGAGGTGGGCGAGAGGAAATTACTGGGGCCCGAAATAGTCCAAATAAATTTTGAGAATATTGCCTTAATTAAAGAGCAGCTCAAGACAACCTAAAGTCAGCAAAATAGTTGTGCCGATAAACTCAAGAGAGACCTCGAATTTGAAGTAGGTGATCGGGTCTTCCTGAAGGTAACAACGACCAAGGGTATTATGAGATTTGGCAAGAAGGGAAAATTGAGCCCACTATATATTGGGCCTTACAAATTCTGGAAAGAGTTAGGAACATGGCGTACCGACTTGCCCTGACACCTGATTTGGCCAATATCCATAATGTCTTCCATGTATCCCTGCTAAATAAGTATCAACCTGACCCATCCATGCTTTAGAATACAATCCAATCCAACTCAGGGAAGACTTTTGAAAGACATTTTTCAGCACCATTTGTCCCCGATGCGGAATAAAGGGAGAAGCCGGTCAATAAAGCCTAACGAACAGTGGAAAATTTCACAGTCTCAAAATGCCCCCAGATCTGGTCAAGATCTTTATAAGGACTCCTAAAAGTCTCTTACCAAGTTTCTTCACAATCCGACATGTCTAAGGTAATGCAGACTGAGAGACAGTTTTCGATAGAATTAGCCTTTAGCACCGTGAAACGAACCCCTATAACTAGAGCTCTATTTTTCGTGCGTCAAATTGATATGGGACCATCGCCATTGGAGCCAACATGGTTGAAAACCCCCATGGGTCAAATTTTAGCTTAAACGGGCACTCTAGGAAGAAGTTATAGGCGAAAGATCGAACCAGGAGGAGCTACACCCTATTACCGTGTGGCCACCCTACAACTAAACTCCATTAAAGGGACAATCGCAAATAGTGAATTGCAATGCTTATATCTCCCTCATCCGAGATCGGATCATGCTCAAACTTGTTGGAGCGCGTTCGTCTCATTGAGACGAGCGTTTCGATATGTGGCACACCCCGTGATAAAGAAAAGCTAGAGAGAAGTCGCCAATCCGTGAAGGAAGTTGTAAGCAAATCAGCAGTGACAAGCCTTGCTCGAGCGGCCAAATCACGGTGCTCACGAACCAATCGACATGAAACAAGTTGCATCGCGTGCATAAGGTCCACGAATATCACCAGTTTGAACCTCAAGTATGATAGACGGTCAGATCTCGCACACGAAGCAGATGAAGTGATGCAAATTTCAGCTCCAGAATTCTAGATTCCAGCCAAAACTCAAAAGTTGTGAAATCTTTGTCTAAGTATGAAATGGAGCTGTGTTTGTTGCCACGCGATCACGATGGCATGCTTAGTGTGATCTAGCGAAGAAACCTCGGAAAATCATGAAGAAAGAAGCACACTATCGACCTGAAGTTTGCAAAGAAGCATAGACGAGCACAGATAGGCACACCCATCGCCATGTGCCTTAGAAGGGACTATCGTCGCATGCTTCACAAGTGGCTATCACTGCGTGCTTCACAAGAGGCTATCGCCGCCCTCGAAGGGGTGTGCTGCCTTCTTATGTTGCCAACAGTGATGCCTAGAGCACACCCTCCAGCCGTGAGCAGTAATGCCTAGTGTCGTCCAAGAGCCGTGAAACTGCTACTCCACGGCTGTGAATGGCGAGGCCTAAGTGCCGTCGGGACCCTGTTTCTTTTCCATTTAGCACTTCCTCCTAATTCTCTTCTCTTCTCACTTGACTGAGGGTAGACTCTGCCTAGCATTGCCATAGCGGTCTGGTTGTCGAGCAATATTGCTGTCATGCTGGTCCTGAGTACCATACCCGTCTTGCTGTCACACAAGATTAGGATAGTCATATCGGTTTCTGTTCAAGTGGTATTGCCGTCATGCTGGTTCTAGTATCATGCCCGTCTTGCTACCACTCCGAGTCAGTTATTGTACTAGTCCAGCTATCATGCTAGTCTTATCCCCTTAGCAAGTTCTCTTCTCATTTCTACCTTTATTCAAACCTTTCACTTCATCACCCTCACTTATG